TAATCAATGCAATATAACCAATGGAAAAATAACCAATCTTCACACTCGAGCATTTTCTACTCGCAATGGAAGGTCCCCAAGGTCATTTTATCAGCTCACTTTTCGATGAGATTTGGTACAGTGACAGAGCTCGCAAAGCTGAATCCAACAATACCCGGTTTGCCGGGCATACGGCTTATAGTTTTCGAGATAATCGATGTCAAAGTTGCTAACGAAAGGCCAGAAAGACGCGCTGGGTTACGCAGCGAGGTACTGCGCGGCAGTGGTGGGGGTTGCCCCGCTCGTCGGCATCACGTGGGCTACCCGAGCGCGACTGCGTGCGCCCCCACTCCCTGGCGCGCGGCGCCTCGCGCTGTAAACCTGCGCGTCTTTCTGGCCTTTTATTGGCAACTTTAACGTTAATTATCTCAAAAACTATAAGCCGTATGCCCCGCAAACCTGGTATCGTTGGATTCAGCTTTATGAGCTCTATCACTGTAGCTAATTTCTTCGAGTAATGAGCGTCAATTTTGGGGACGTTCCCTTATCAGAACAAGAGAACACCGTTCGACGCTCATAGATTTCACATCGCATACAAACCACGCGCACAATAATTTGTTATATGTTAAATTACTCGCGTTGCCAAGAATATCAAACTTAATCACACCTGAAACTCCAAGTAGCCTCGCGCTATTAATTTACCAACGAGCTTTCCGCTACCGCGATTAACCCTTTCACCTGTGCCAACAAGTCTGACCAAGATTTCACTTAACTCGAGATATTAAAACCTCGGTTGTCGTAGCTGTAATCTCATTTTTTTAATGTAAAAAAAAAGAATGTGTACACAGTTTCGCGGACACGACGAAACGATGCAATTTCTTTTAAATACCGTACGCTGTTCCCTGTTTTCGAGACATTTCACGGAAAAGAAAATATGTTTGAAATTAATTGTTCGACTGTTTTCATCCCATTAAACCGTGTATCGGTATAAACAAATAAAAAACAAAAATACGGTCCTGTCAGGCATAACTTGCTCTACTTAGTTTCATAATTATTCTTTTTTCTATTTTACGAGTTCATAAACGTCCGTTGTCAGTTGAACGGTAAAGCAGCTGCCGGGTTCGAGGAAAAGCGATAATATCGAACCGGAAGAACTTGCGACAATAGTTCGAACTTCGCGGAATATGCTTCCCCCCGATAAAAGGAAGTTAACGAGCAAAGTAACATCGCTTTAAATATTCTCTTTCCGAAGTAATAATAACAGCCGAGGGTTGAAAAGGTACTATAGGGACACGAAGCGAATAATAAAATCAGCTTTCCGCTTCCGGCAATTTTTCTAACCGAGGGTGGATCGTGGAATAATTCTCGGTTTTTATACGCGGTTACGCGAACCCGCGACAGCGATTTCGAATCAGCATCTATCTAAGGGGGCGGCTTTATTTCGGTGGAACCGCGTTAGGGCGGCGGAGGACGCGAGAATCTTGTCACCGCGACAGGAATTAATTAATCCGACTCGTGAAAATTAAGAATGACCCGGGCCAAGTGAATTTATCGTCGGTCGTCGGCTTCGGTTTACGAGCGCGTCACAGAGACGAAACTCTTTTCCTCCCCTCGGGCCCAGCCAAATCCGACAATTATACGACAGAATCACGCTTTTATTCGACTCCCGTTATCAGCGGTAACAGCCTCGACGGTCACCTTGAAAACAGCGACATGCAGTCCGTTTCGACGCATCGAGACAGTGTTATCTCTCATCGCGTTCCCGGTGTTTCTGTTTAGGCGACAAAATTCTTTACGGTCCATTCTCCGGACTGGAAAAATTCGTATTCGAATGTCGAATTTCTGACGACCGATATTTATTTTCACGCGTTTCATTAGAGCCTAAAGAAAAATCTAACGCATCTAGAAGGAATGCCGTATCAAAAATACAAGGTGTCCCAAAAATGTCTCTCAATTCGGAAATGGCGGGTTCCTCGGATCATTTGAAGCAGCTTCTTCCTTTATAAAAATGTTCTCCGAGGCTCCGTTAACGAGTTATTAACGAAAAACAGTGACCAATAAGAATCGAGCACGGCTGACGGGAGGCGGCCCAGCCAACCGGCGCGCGAAGCCCAGTTCCGCTCATTGGCTCGATCGCCTCGCGCCAGCCGAGCTCGCCTCTCATTGGTCACTGTTTTTCGTTAATAACTCGTTAACGGCGCCTCGGAGAAAATTTCTGTAAAGGAAGAAGTTGCTTCGAATGACCCCAGGAACCCGCCACTTTCGGATTGCGAGACATTTTTGGGACACCCTGTATGTTGAAAGAATTGATAAATAAAATAACAAAATAAGTATTGTCTAAAATGTCCGCCGTTCGAGGAGGTTAACTGTCGAGGTTATTAATATTTCTAAATTGATATCTTATTTTCGAGGCAGTGCTAAAAATTCAATGAAATTAATGACAACTGCTGTACGTATATATGTATTCTCACGTATTATATATATAATATATATCCTCTGCAATAATTGATTAATCGCGGTATCGTATTTCTGTTCGCCGATATACATAATCGTTTTCATAGCCCGACCTATGAAACCATCCTTCGACGAAGATAACGAGGGGAGACAAATTTATTGTCTTTTTTTTCATTCGCCGAGGATATCCGTATCGTGATTTATTGGACGTGATGTGTATAATCGGGTCGAGTTCATAACGGACTCGAATTAAGCTGTCAATGGTTAGATTTACAGAAGAATTGTTGCACAACCGTAGGCGAATCAATATTTTCCCCATTAATTGTCGCCTTTTTTTCAGTGACACGTACCGTGGTATCGTGCGTACATGCACGCCCATTGTTAACGCGAAAAGAAACAAACAGAATCGCCTATTTATGCACTCACGCGATCCTCGGTATATCATTCTATAATTTGGATAATATATAGTATAATATATATATAATATAATAATAATATAATAATATAATATTATATAATTTATATAATAATAATATAATAATATAATAATATATATAATAGTATATAGTATAATATACGTATAGTATAGTAATCCAGATATATCTGAACTTCTCTTTACTTAATCAAATGTATTTAAATGCGTTTGATTACAAAAATGTATATACATTATACTACGCACATTATATTTCAATAAATATAAACATACAATCAGTATCCGCACGTTGTTTTATTTAAGTGAAAACAGTCGAATATCTCAGAAGAAATTGAACTTACGAAAAAAAAATGTTCCTACGAAAGTTGTTTTTTGTAGAACTGAAAAGAATTTCAAGGTTAACAAAATTTTTTCAAATGGAATGCCATGTTTATTTTATTCAGAATATAACAGAATAAAACTGAGAAAAATCTAAAACAGTACTACACGATATGATTTATTTATTTATTTGTTTAACGAACTCGGAACGATATCGCGTACTATCTTTTTCGGATCTGTCCGAATTCCGGTCGTTATGTTATAAATAAAAAAAAATATAGCATTCCGTTCAAAAAAAAAAATTGCTTTGACCTCGAAATCTCTCTTTCACTTCTCCGCTCACACAAAAAAAAACTATTAATATTAGACGACGTGCCCCATCCTACCGAGCAAGTTTCATAGGAACATTGTTTTTGTAACCTCAATTCCTTCCGAGATATTCCACTGTTCTCGCTTCGTTAAACAAAACATCCTGTACACACGGTGTTCCGTAGCACGCGGGGCCCACTTCGGAAATAGATTCTACACGTGAAAAAACAATATCAAAAAAAAAAGTTCACATAAACATACCGTGTTCAAAACGGCACGACGCTGAAAGAGTCCTTCCTGTCGCGAAAAGGTTATGTGATCGGAGAGTTCGAAAATAACCGTGCACTCGATGATAATTATTAGTGATTCGATGACAGATTTTTCGCAGAAATTCTTGCTTGTTCTTCGCTGTACGCACTTCATTTATTCGAGTTCAATTGGTCGAGAGGTTCAACGATAAGAAATAACTATTAAGCTATTTTAACTGTAACAGAATGTAATTCGACAATTAATAAAGAGTCGATACGCTTAACAATGCATAACCTCGAAATCTTTTTCACTACTCCACCTACAAAGAAACTATTAATACGGCGATGTCTAAATAATGATGAATAATGATGAATAATGATGAATAATGATGATAGTAATAATAATGATATATATATATATATATAATGATAGTAATGATAATGACGATGATAATGACGATAGTAATAATGCATAACGCGTATCCTTGTAATTTTTACAACATCATTGTGTGAAAAATATATTATTTAAATAAAGAATTTCCTCAATTAAGATTATCTTTTTAAACGTTTCATTATAAAGAAATTGCTCGGGATACGTAGGTGCCTCGTCACTCTATCAGGTGAAATTCGTGTACCACGCTGACGCCGGGTTAACGATACGATGAAATTCGCTAACCATGGAAAATCACGCGAATAATGATCATTTGATGGTCGGCGATCGGGCGTGTACGCGTTGGTAGAATCGAAGAAATATCAATAGGTAATAATAACGTCGAAGTAACGCCGGGAACGAATTATTATCGAAGCGAATTTCCGGCACGCCGCGAAACAGTCGTCGTCGTTGAATATTAAAACTGCGGTATTAATAAATATTATGCATGTGAGTAAAATGCGAGCGGAATTGAAAACAATTAATTCCCCGTTCAATTTGTTTCTAACAAAAGTAGAATATGCGCGCAATCTAGGCGGCGGCGAAGAGTTCGCGGCCGCGATTGCATGCCCGATGGCATGGAAACTGGGCTTTTATTAATTAATTTGGTTGTTCACACGAGAGATTATCTTCATTCCGGTTATGCCGCGTGTGTGTGTGTTATACCGAATAAACGTGTGTCGCGTATGCGCGTACACATTTGTTAAGTACCGTTCACATTGGTACAATAACCGGGGCCCCGCATAATACGTATGTACACACGCGTATGCAATAAGCACTTACATACATACATATATATGGACACGTGTTACCGTGTTACCAGTTTCGGCCCGCCGGTTCGTGAAACGGTACTAATCACCTGACGCGTTCCCCATAATGATTTACGAAAATGAAGATCGGTTCTTGAAGCATTCATTCCCGGACGACTCTGACAAATAATCGAATTCAAGGCATTCAACCGTGTGGAAATATGGCTTCCTTGGGTACACTTTTATTATGTCAGTACGAGTGTACGCTTTGAGAAATAATGCGAAACGTTTTAAGCTATTAAAACGTAGTAAGTAAGCTATTTAAACGTATTAAGCTACTTTAAATCTATTTATTAGTACTGTTCTTCCCCTAATTCGCGATTTGTTTTTATTTCTACGCAGATCACCACTTTTATTTGAGGTTATAAACTGTCGACCGATCGGGATAGATTCGAACCCGGATCTTTCTCGCTTCCCGGACGGCTGCTTAATTAAGCTATTCCGGCTGGCCGATGACACGTTCTCTCTCGGTTCTTGTAAACACAAACAAACAACACGTGTCAGATATATGCCGGACACCTACAATGCGCTGGGGAGCAAAATTGAGTCGACACTTTTGACACGGTATATAACCTTTTTAAAAAATGGTCCAAACGACTTGAATTTTTCTGTAAATGTTAGAGGGACTGATTCACTGTACAATGACTAGAATACCTTTTTCTTTTTAAAAACTAGTATAACCTTTTTAAAAACTGGTCCAAACGACTTGAAATTTTCTATAAATGTTAGAGGGACTGATTCACTGTACAATGACTAAAATACTTTTTTCTTTTTAAAAACTGGTATAACCTTTTTAAAAACTGGTTCAAACGACTTGAAATTTTCTGTAAATGTTAGAGGGACTGATTCACTGTACAATGACTAAAATACTTTTTTCTGTTTAAAAACTGGTCCAAACGACTTGAAATTTTCTGTGAATGTTAGAGGAACTGATTCACTGTGCAATGACTAAAATACTTTTTTCTTTTTAAAAACTGGTATAACCTTTTTAAAAACTGGTCCAAACGACTTGAATTTTTCTGTAAATGTTAGAGGAACTGATTCACTGTACAATGATCAAAATAAATTTCTTTTTTAAATTTTATTTGGAATAAAAAGAATATAAAGAAACTCTCGTTTTCTCACTTAACACAATTATATTAATTCTACGTTTGCAAATTCTTGTTCGTAATAGACAGATTTTTATGGTTTCTATATGGTGTTTTGTCGAATCGTCGCGGAACGTATTTACATACATACGTATGCATGTTCCAAAGAGAATATCTTTCGATAATTCGTTCCCGATCGATTCTGTTATAAAGGAAGTCCGGAGCACACCTATCACACCGTCACAGAAATCTCCGGTAATTTATAGATATGTTTACCAGCGAAAGAGGAAATTTACTATCATAAATTCACTGGTTTATTTACTCCTATCAGGCTCCGGTATTCAACGGATGGGCTCGGATGTGGACAGAATACAAGAGCAGAAATATTGAGAGGCGAAATGTGAACGCGAGATGGAGAGCTTTGCACCGGATATTCCCCGATTTTTGATGAGATCTGCGGGCCATCCTTTTAGATACGTCGGGTAACAAGATATTTCTTCCTCGATCTTGGCACGATTTATAATAAAATCGAATTTAATTAAACGAGAAGAGGTCGATGTATCGTTGCCGATACGAATCGAAGAACATTTTTGGGGCGAATAAACAATTTCAGGGAGTCCGCAAATTTATCAATTTTTTGTTTTGTTTTCTCAAAATAATATAATTTAGTATCTTACTTCGTTAATTGAATAGATAATTAGATCCTTTCATTTGTAAGATACTA